GGGTGACTTTTCTCCAGTGACAAGAGTCTGGCTCTGGGACCATAGTCCTGCATTGTAATCTCAGCTCCTCATTCTACCAGCTGTGAATTTAGGAAAGTTAATTAAATTCTAAACTTCTCTTTTCTCATCTACAAAATGGGATTATGACAGTATCTATCTAATCATTTGTTTTCAGGATTAAAGAAGTTGATGCCAGTAAAGTGCTTGGCATTTTGACCTTCGCTCAATAAAATCCAACTTCCAGTTCTGCTACTAACACGTCATTAATGTTATTAGTAACACAGGGCCCCAGAGTAAACCCCCAAAATATTAGCTGTTCTCATCATCATTATTATTAGGGATGCCGAGCCTCTGCATTAAACTCCCATTGGGGGAAAAGGGCTGTATTGCAAAGCCAGACATGCCAAGGACCCCCTGAGAAAAATATTCTTTCTCAAAATTCAAACAACTTATTTGAATGTCCAACTTACACTGAGCCTCAACTTAGACAGAATAGGATAAGTTACACTGTTGTGAGAAACCTCAAAATCTCAGTGGTTTGACACTGCAGTGGTTTATTTCTTGCTCATGTTTCAGTCAGACTCAAATCACTTGGTATCTGTCCTTCAAATGGTAACTCAGAGACCTGGACAGTTTTCATCTCGAGATATATATTAAAGGACAAGGTTTAGAAGTAACTTAAACATGGTTCTCACCCACTGATCCTAATTCTAGGATAAGTCTTATCTCTCTTTCCAAGATAATTAATTATTCTTTATGTCCGTGACTCCATTTGTCATATAGAATGGATAACATTTCATCAGCCATCATGGTGGTTCTCATCTGAATGTCCTAGTTGGTTTATGTCCCTGCACCAAAACTGAGCCTAAGTGTAAATCTGACATGTATGAATTGAGTGGTACAATCACCTCCTTTATTCTAGATAGTATACTTCCATTAATGCAGCCTAAGGGTTATTTTCTTTTTGTTTGTGTGTGGTTTTTTTTTTTTTTTTGGAGGGAAAGGTAAGCAATACTGAACTAATCAACATCAACTAATACTGCCATAGATATATAAGAATTCAGTTCCTTCTTGTCAATGTTTATTCTCCTTTTGTTCTGAACAGGAATCTGCATTATGGAAAAAGTTCACTAGAAGAACATCAGTTGAAGAGATTTCCTTTCTCTCCTTTATCCAATATATCGCCTACCCATCCAATGCAGGTGGTTAGCCTTATCATCCAAGTTTTTAAAGGCAAATACTGAGAAAGGTAGATGTCAAGGCTTGACCAGCCCTGTTATTTCTTGGACTGAACCCTCGCATCCACCTTGTTGCAGGTACCACATCTGTGTGACCGTGCTGATCTACTTCCTCCCCCTGCTGGTGATAGGTTATGCATACACCGTAGTGGGAATCACGCTGTGGGCCAGCGAGATCCCTGGGGACTCCTCGGACCGTTACCAGGAGCAAGTCTCTGCCAAGCGCAAGGTGAGCAAAGGGCAGGCAGCACTTGACTCATTCTGGCACAGGTGACAAGCGGGCGAGCATATGAGCCCCAGAGCCTCAAGAGGCCCAGAGGCAGCAGGTACAAAACATCCCTGAATCCTCAGAACAGGAGAAGGGAGGAGAGATCAAGGGGAGGGGATGGGAGGGAACAGCTCTTTCTTGAGGGTCTTTGTAACCTAAGCCTGCCTGTACAGTCATGAGCCATCTCGCTCTCACCTTAAGTCTAATTGAAAACTGTCAAGTAGTAAAAACAGACACATATTTAACGACAAAAGCATTGAAGAGTTATTTAGTTCTCTTTTATTATTACAGTTTGACAAAATAATACATTCACTTTGTTCAAACATAAGAAAATACTAAAGGAAAGCAAATTATGGAGATGAAGAACAGACCAGGAGTCGCCAGAGTTAGGACTGTGGGGGAAGAACCTGCCTATAAAGGGATAGCATGAGTGAGTTTCTTTGTGATGATGGAGCAGTTCTGTATCCTGATTGTGGTACTTCCTCCCCCCCCCCCCCACTTATCTCTGCATATGATAAAATTTCATAGAACTATTCACCAAAAAGTTGCATGTAAAAACTGGCAAAATCCAAATAGTCTGCGGCTTAGTTAATAACACCGGACTATCACCAGTTTCCTGATTTTGATCACGTGGCATCATTCTGTAAGATGCTGCGATTGGGAGAAGCTGTGTGATGGGTCCTGGGAACTCCCTGTACTATTTTTGCAACTTCTTGGGAGTCTTAAATTATTTGAAAATTTAAAGTCAAAAAATATGTTGAGTCCATCTTTCCATGAAAAGTTGCCCTCCTTTCTAGTTCCTCCAAATACCCAGTTCCCAAATGTGCATGCACATTCACACACACACACACACACACACACACACACACACTGGTAACCATTACTGTTTGTTATTCATCCTTCCAGATATGTAATGAATTTATAAGCCAAATAGATTTTTTTCTTTTTTACACAAATAGTAAATACACACTGTTCTTCCCCTCATTTTTAAATTTAACAATATCACAACCTCTTCAAAAATCAACATAGAAAGAGCTTTGTCATTTTTTTTCTCTTTTGGTATTTATTTGCATACTATTTCATTGTGTAGTTGCTAGATAGTTTTCATTTTTTATTGAAATACAGTTGACTTACAATATTATGTTAGTTTCAGGTATATTACATAATAATTTGACATTTACATACACTGTGAAATGATCACCATAAGAAGTCTAGTAGCCATCTATCCCCGTACAAAGTGATCAAAGTATTACTGACCATATTCCTTATACTGCTTAATACATCCCCATGACTTATTTATTGTATAACTGGCAGTTTGTACCTCTTAATCTCCTTCACCTATTTCATTCACCCACCCATCCCCCTCCTTTCTGGCAACCACCCTTTTGTTCTCTGTATTCCTAAGTCTGCTTGTGCTTTGTTTGTTTCCTTGTTTGTTTCGCCTTTCAGATTCCACATATAAGTGAGATCATGTGGTATTTGACTTTCTCTTAGGATAATACCCTCCAGGTACATCCATGTTGTTCCAAATGACAAGATATCATATTTTATGGCTGGATAATATTCCATTTTATATGTATAACACATCTACTTTATCCATTCCTCTATCAGTGGACACTTAGGTTGTGTCCATATCTTGGCTATTGTAAATAATGCTGCTATAAACAATTGGGTGCATGTATCTTTTCAAACTAGGTTTTCATTTTCTTTGGATAAATACTGAGGAGTGAAATTGCTGGATCATATGGTAGCTCTATTTTCAATTTGTTGAGGAATCTCCATACTGTTTTCCAGAGTGACTGCACCAATTTACGTTCCCAGCAACAGTTTACAAGGGTTCACTTTTTCCACATCCTCACCAACTCTTGTTATTTGTTGTCTTGGTGATATTGCCATTCTGACAGGTGTGAGGTGATATCTTATTTTAGTTTTGATTTGTAGTTCCTTGTTAGTGATGCTGAGCATCTTTACCTGTGCCTTTTGGCCATCTGTATGTCTTCTTTGGAAAAACATCTATGCAGATGGCTGTCCATTTTTTAATGCATTTTTTTTGATGTTGAGTTTTATGAATTCTTTGTATATTTTGGATATTAATCCCCTATTAAATATATTGTTTGCAAATATCTTCTCCCATTTAGTAGGCTGTCTTTTTGTTTTGTTTATGGTTTCCTTCACTGTGCAAAAGCTTTTCACTTTGATATAGTTCCATTTGTTTATTTCTACTTTTGTTTCCCTTGCCTGAAGAGACATATCCAAAAAAATTACTAAGACCAAAGTCAAAAAGAGTGCTTCCTATGTTTTCTTCTAGAAGTTTTATGGTTTCAGGTCTCCCATTTAAGTTTTTAATCCAGTTTGAGTTTATTTTTATATATGATGTGAGAATGTAATCCAGTTAGATTGTTTTGCATGTATCAGTCAACTTTTCTCAACATCATTTGTTGAAGAGGCTGTCTTTTCCCTGTTGTATATTCTTGATTCCTTTGTGAAAGATTAATTGTCCATATGTGTGTGGATTTGTTTGTGGGATCTCTATTCTGTTTTATTGAGCTCTATGTCTCTTTTGTGCCAGTACCATGCTGTTTTGATTACTGTAGTTTTTACTATGGTTTTTGAAATCAGGAAATCAGATAGCTTAATACCTCCAGCTTTGTTCTTCTTTCTCAAGGTTGTTATGGCTATTTATGGTCTTTTGTGTTTCCATACAAATTTTAGGATTATTTTTTCTAGTTCTGTGCAATTGCCTTTGGTATTTTGATAGACTGCGTTGAATCTATAGATTGCCTTGGGCAGTGTAGTCATTTTAACAATGTCAGTGCTTCCAATCCATGAGCTTGCTGTATCTTGTTTGTGTTTGTGTCCTCTCCAATTTATTTTATCAATGTCTTATAGTTTCCCTTATAGTTACAAGTCTTTTACCTTCTTGGTTAGGTTCATTTCTAGGTATTTTATCCTTTTGGATCCAACTGTAAATGGGATTGTTTTCTTAATTTCTCCTTCTGATAGTTCATTGTTAGTACATAGAAATGTAACTGATTTCTGTATATTAATTTTATATCTTGCCACTTTACTGAACTCATTTATTGGTTCTAATTTTTTTGGTGGTGTCTTCAGGATATTCTATATATAGTATCATGTCATTTGCAAACAGGACAGTTTTACTTCTTCCTTTCTAATTCATATGCCTTTTATTCCTTTTTCTTGTCTGATTGCTTTGGCTAGGCCTTCCAATAATATGTTGAATAAAAGGGAGAGAATGGCAACCTTGTCTTGTTCCTGATCTTAGAAGAAATGTTTTCAGCTTTTCACCATTGAGTTATGATGTTAGCTGTGGGCTTGTCATATATGGCCTTTATATGTTGAAGTATGTTCCCTCTATACCCACTTTGGTGAATGTTCTTATCATAAAATGGGTATTGAATTTTGTCAAAAGTTTTTTTTTTCTGCATCTGTGAAGTTGATCATATGATTTTTTATTCTTCAATTTGTTAACATGATATTGACTGATTTACTGATATTGAGCCACCCCTGCATCCCAGGCATAAATTCCACTCAGACATGGTGTCTGATCCTTTTAATATATTGTTGAATTTGGTTTGCTAATGTTTCATTGAGGATTTTTTGCATCTATGTTCATCAGTTATATTGGCCTCTAATTTTATTTTTTGCGGTGTCTTTAATTTGGGTATCAGAGTGATACTGGCTTCATTGAATGAGTTCAGAAGTGTTCCTTTCTCTTCGAATTTTTTGGAATAGTTTGAGAAGGGTAGGTGTTAACTACTCTTCTTTAAATGTTTTGTAGAATTTACCTATGAAGATGTCTGGTCCAGGACTTTTGTTTGTTGGGAGTTTTTGTTTTGTTTTGTTTTGTTTTTTATAACTGACTCAATTTTATTACTGATAATTAGTCTGTTTGCATTTTGCACTTCTTCACAATTCAGTCATGGGAGATTGTACTTTTCCAGGTATTGACCTATTTCTTCTAGGTTGTCCATTTTCTTGGCATTTAATTGTATTTAGTAATCTCTTATGATCCTTTGTATTTCTGTTGACGTTGAATGTAAATTTTCTTTCATTTCTGATTTTACTTATTAGAGCTCGCTCTTTTTTTGTCTTGATGAGTCTGGCTAGAGATTTATTAATTTTGGTTATCTTTTTTAAAAACCAGATCTTAATTTCTTTCATCTTTTAAATTTTTTTAGCCTCTACTTCATTTATTTCTGCTCTGATCTTTATGATTACTTTCCTTCTACTAACTTTGAGTTTTGTTTGTTCTTCTTTCTCTAGTTCCTTCAGGTATAAGGTTAGGTTGTTTGAGATTTTTCTAGTTTCCTGAGGCAGGTTTGTATAAATCTAAACATCCCTGTTAGAACTGCCTTTGCAGCATCCCATAAATTTTGGATCATTGTGTTTTTATTCTAATTTGTTTCCAGGGTTTTTTAAAATCTTCTCTTTAATTTCTTCAGTGATCCATTCGTTGTTTAGTAGCATATTGTTTAACCTTCATGTGTTTGTGTTTTTTGCAGTTTTTTTTCTCCTTGTAATTGATTTCTAGTCTCATAGCATAGTGGTTGGCAAAGACGCTTAATATGATTTCAGTCTTTTTAACTTTACTGAGGCTTGTTTTGTGGCCTAGCATGTGATCTATCCTGGAGAGTGTTCCATGTGTACTTGAAAAGAATGCGTATTCTGCCTCTTTTAAATAGAATGTTCTCCTCTCTCTCTCTCTCTCTGTCTGTCTCTCCCTCTCTCAATTTATAAATATGTCTAATGTGTCACTTAAGGTCAATTTTACTTACTAAGTTTCTGCCTGGATGATTTTCCCATTGATTTAATTTAGGTTGTTTAAGTTTCCTATTATTGTGTTACTGTCGATTTCTCCCTTTATGTTTGTTAATATTTGCTATAGATATTTAGGTGCTCCTATATTGGGTACCTATAAATTTACAAATGTTATCACTTCTTCTTTGATTGAGTCCTTGATCTTTATGTAATGTCCTTCTTTGTCTCTTGTCATAGTCTTGTTTAAAGTCTATCTTGTCTGGTATAAGTATTGCTACCCCAGCTTTATCTTCATTTCCATTTGCATGGAATAAGTTTTTCCTTTACTTTGCTTTCAGTCTGTGTATCTTTAAATCTGAAGTAAGTCTCTTGTAGCCACCATATAAATGGGTCTTATTTTTGTATCCGTTCTTCCATTCTATGTCTATTTATTGAAGCACTTAGTCTATTAAAATTCGAAGTTATTATTGATAGGTATGTACTTATTGCCATTTTTAATGTTTTCTAGTTGTTTTTATAGTTTTGTTGTTGTTGTTCCTTTCTTCTGTTTTTGCTCTCTTCCCTTGTGAGTTAATGTTTGCCTTTAAAGTTATATTTGGATTCCTTTCTCTTTTTTCATGTATATCGATTATAGATTTTTGGTTCATAGTTACCATGAGACTTATATATAGCAACCTATATATACATACATATGTGATTATTTTAAGTTGGTGACCATTTAAGTCTGAACGTATTCTAACTGTCCTTCACTTTTATTCTCCCTTCATTTTTAATGTTTTTGACATCATATTTTATATCTTTTCATTTTGTATATCCCTTAACTATTATTGTGGATATAGATGATTTTTCTATTTTTGTCTTTTAAGCTCCCTACTAGCTTTATAAGTGGTTGACCTGCTACTTTTATTGCATGTTTGCCTTAACCGATGAGATTTTTTTCTCTCATGTTTTCCATATTTCTGGTTGTGGTCTTTTCTTTTCCACTTAGAGAAGTTCCTTTAACATTCTGTTAGGCCATTTTAGTGGTGTTGAATTCTTTTAGCTGTTGCTTGTCTTAAAATTTTTATCTCACCTTCAAATCCGAATGATAGCCTTACCAAATAGAGTATTCTTGGCTGTCTGTTTTATTCTTTCATCACTTTGAATATACGGTGTCACTCCTTTCTGGCCTGCAAAGTTACTGCTGAAAAGTCAGCTGACAGTCTTATGGGAGTTCCTGTGTATGTAACTATTTGCTTTTCTCCTGCTGCTCTTAATATTCTCTCTGATTTTTAATATATGCCATTTTAGTATAATGTGTCTTGATATAAACTACATTGGGTTCATCTTGATTGGGACTCTTTGTACTTCTTGGATCTGGATGTCTCTTTCCTTTCTCAGGTTAGAGAACATTTCTGCTATCATCCCTGCAGATAAATTATTTGCCCTTTCCCCTCTCTTCTCTCTCTGGGACTCCTATAAGGCAAATATTAATACATTTTTGATTGGTTGTCCCAGAGGTCTCTTAAGCTATGCTCATTTTTTATTTTTTCTTTTTTCTTTAGCTTTGATGTCTTCCAGTTTGCTCATCCATTCCTCTGTATCATCTAATCTATTGTTGTTTCCTTCTAGTGTATTTTTTATTTCAGTTATTGTATTCTTCAGCTCTGTTTGGTCCTTCTTTATATTTTCTAACTCTTTGTTTAAATTCTCATTATGTTCATCCATTCTTCTCTTGAGTTCATTGACCACCTTTAAGCTCTTGAACTCTTTTTCGACTAGACTGTTTACCTCCACCTCATTTAGCTCTTTTTCTGAGGTTTTTGTCTTGTTCCCTGTTTAGAACACATTACTCTGTCTCCTCACATTGTGTATGCTTATTTCTCTCTACTTATTTATATGCATTAGGTAAGTTGTTTACATGTGCTGATCTTGGAGAAGTGGCCTATGTTGGAGCTGCCCTATAGGGCCCAGTAGCACATTCCCCTCTAACCAGCAGAGCTATATACTCTAGGGGTGCCTCCTATGTGTGCTGTGTGGGTCCTTCTGTTGTGGTGGGGCTGACTACTGCGGTAGATGAGGTTAGCTCCAGCCCAGTTCACTCCCAAGCCCTGCCTTGTTTGGTGGCTGCTGGCCCACTGATTGGTGGAGTTGAGTCCCTGCCTATATAGTTGCAAGGTACAAGGGCCCTGAGGCTGGTGCCAACCCACTGATGCACAGGTCCAGGTCCTGGGGCAGCTGACTATGGGTCCATGGGGGGGTCTCAAGCTGGTGCCAGCCAGCTGCTGGGTGGGTAAACTCCCAGAGCTAATAGGCTAGAAGAAGGACTCTAAACTGGCATTTGCCAAAACCAGTGTCCTCATGGTAGAATGAGCTCCCCAAAAATGGCTGCCACCAGCGTCTATGTCCCCAGGGGTGGTCCCAGTTCCCTCCTGCCTCTCTGGGAGGTTCTTCAAGGTCAGCAGTGGGTCTGATCCAGGCTTCTTTAAATCATTGCCTCTGTGCTGGGACTTAGAGCATGTGATACTTTTTTATGCACTCTTTTAAGAGCAGAATCTCCGTTTCCTACAGCCCTCTGGCTTTCCAGTATGCAAACCCTGCTGGACTTCAAAGCTAGAAAGTCTTAAGTTTTATCTTCCTAGTGCAGGACCTCCTAGCTGAGGAACCCAATGTGGGGCTCAGACCTCTTGCTCCTTGGAAAGGACCTCTGTAATTGTGATTATCCTTCCATTTGTGGGTCACCTCTCCAGGGCTGTGGGTCTTCAATATTACTGCATCTCTGCCCCTCCCACCCATCTCATTATGGTTCCTTCTTTATATCTTTAGTTGTGGAAAGTCTTTCTGCTAATCTTTAGGTCATTCTCATAGATAGTCGTTCTGTGAATAGTTGTAATTTTGGTGTGCTCTCGGGAGGAGGTGAGCTCAGAGTCTTCCTACTCCGCTATCTTGGCCAGACCTCTTCTAGGCAGTTTTTCTCTGAAGATTTCTTGGGGATAAAAAGGAATGGGTTACATCACCTATTACTCATAAAAACTTTTAATGATTATTCCCTTCAAACATTTGACCCCCTTGCTGCTGCTGTCCAAATCCCATCCCTTCTCTTCCCTCCCCTTGAATCTTCAAGCTTAGCAGCCTGCTCTGGCTCATTGCTCCTTTCCTTCTGCTATGTTCTCCCCCTTCCTGGGCCTCTTCCTCCTGAACACCCATTCCTCTTCATTCATCAGTCTGGTCTCCCTTGGCTTCTCCAGTTATTGCCCAGAAGGATGATATAATATGGTGGTTCTCAAACATGAAGTCTGGGATGGGGTCCAAGAATTTGCCTTTCTGACAAGTTCTCAAGTGATGGTTATGTTGCTGGTCCTGGGGCCACCCTTTGAGAACCACTGACATAACCGAATTCCTTTGGTATGGCATATAAATGGCCCTTCCTCCATGTTGAAAGATGTTATTATAAATAGTTTCCACTCTATATGACATGTGCACAGTAAGGAGGCAGAGAAAGAGAGAAAATAACCATGAGAAAAGGAGGGTGTGCTAGTGGTCTCACCTGTCTCACTCTCTTGCCAGGTGGTTAAGATGATGATTGTCGTTGTATGCACTTTTGCCATCTGCTGGCTGCCCTTCCACGTCTTCTTCCTCCTGCCCTACATCAAACCTGATCTCTACCTGGAGAAGTTTATTCAGCAAGTCTACCTGGCCATCATGTGGCTGGCCATGAGCTCTACCATGTACAACCCCATCATCTACTGCTGCCTCAATGACAGGTAAGAATCCCATCCCCAGTTCTCTCTCCAAGGAAGAGAAGACCATTTGTCTATATCACCCCCACCCCAAGCAGGTAAACCAAATGAGCAAAGCTGGCTGTGAGACAAGAGGGAATGGTAGAGACTGCAGAAAACTAAACTAATCATCACCTGTTCAGTCCCTGCTGATTATCACCATGCAGGAGCATGAGCCCCAAGGAGACTTTTTTTTTCTTTTCCAAAGGAAGCAAAATCTGTATTTTTGTGTGAAATCCTCTGGCTTTTAAACACTGGTTACTAAGTCAATGGTGGAAGGTAGGGGGCAGAGGCAAATGAAAAAAACCTCTGTGATTGATGCATAAAAAGCAGGTTGCAGGCTGGGTCAAGTTCATGAATTTTCTCAGCCTGCTCTATGGATTCCATGCACAGAAGGCTGCGCAAACAGACAGGGAGAGACAGAAAGTCAGAGAGAGATAGAGTCAGAGAGAGACAGAAAGAAAGAATACAAGAGAGAAAGAGAGAGAGCAAGTTTGATGTCATTAGAATATTATCCACCACAGGGCATCTTTTCCTTTCTCTGGTCTCTCACTGTCCTCTTCCCATCCCATCATGTAATCTGGGCACCTTTGTCCAGTTTATTCCATCATGTCCTGCAGGACAAGATAAGCAAAAGGAAGTCAGGGCCTCAAAGGTTTGATTCTGCCTTTACTTGGCCACAGGGGTCAGGAAAGCCTTCCCCAAAGTGGAAGCCAACCTCAGACAAGTAAGAAAAGGGAGAAGCCATGAGGAATAGTGGTCAGCAA